GGGGGGGGGGGGGGGGGGGGGGGGGGACGATGGGGAAAAAAGAAGGGGCTGTTCTCTGTACTGCAGCCGTCGACTCCTTTGTGCGTATGCGCGGGGGGAACAAGTCTCTCCCCACGCTTTGGGAACAAAATTAAAATAAGGTCTAGCTTTGGGGAATAGGAGCTAGGAAGGGGGACTGTGCGGTAAGGGATGGGGGAGAATTTCAGCTCCTGTTATTTTTTTCTGTGCTACTTCCTTCCCGCTCCCCATATGTGGAAAAAAGGAGGGGGGACTTGTGCATTCCTGTCCCTCCTAATCTACTTGAGCTTTGCGCTGGTACTGGAATGCCCTCTCCAGCCCAGAAGGTACAATAAAATATGTTTTAAAAAATTTTGCAGAAGAACATTGCTTGCGAGGGAGGGAAATCTGTCAGTTGAAGTTGAGGGGACTAGGACCTCCCCCACTAGAGTGCTGTGGCTTGTGGTGGGGAGAGGAGAGGAGGAAACGACTTAAGTGGGGCCTGATGGTCTCTGCGATTTGAATCTGGTTCTTGAACCAAGCCACTGGGCTGGGAGCAGCTGCGCTCACCCTCCCATGATTTCAAAGTAAAAAAAGGGAAGAGGGCGGTTGTATTCCACCACAGTGAATAGTGAGGTTTTGGGTTTTTTTAAAATCAGAACTTCTTTTGCTGAGAGCATCTCTTTGTGGGAGTTAAAAAAGGAATTCCTGGCCTGCTGCACTTCGTCTTTTATTTTCCCTTTTCGACTGTCTTCCATGGGTCAAGAAAAAGGGATAGACAGCTATTCCAGGCTTTTCAGGCACAAGCCAAATCTTTAGGGTGATCCTGGTCGCCAAATGTTTTGGGGCCTAGCGGGCGGCTTGCCTTACAGAAACCGTGGCGTCGTGCTGCGTGGGCTTTTCCAAACTGATTTCTGCTCTTTCGCCATGCTGGTGTTCACTGTTGCAACCTTTGCCCCTGAATTAGTTGCGGCCTCTTGGACCAGCCTTCTTAAATTTGGTGCTGTTTGCCTGTGCTGGGATTGCAGGTGTCAGCATTTGCATGAAAGATACCAGGGTCAGGAAGGTTATCCTGTTGCATTTACTATTCCTGCCTAAGTCTCTCTAATCTCTTTTCCTTCCACCTCCGCTGGAACTACAGTGGGGCTCCCCCATCTAGTGTTCATGTAGTGTCCACATCAAGAACCTAGTCCTCAGTTTTTAAAGTTTATTCCTCTTTATTCCTGATTAGGGCTCTGCCTCTTCCTGCTCCCTGTGTTTTCATAAGCTCACCTGCCATCAAAGCTCTCCTCACCTCCTCAGGCAGCTCCATTTCTTCAGGATCCTTCCCTGAAGCTCCCAGGGCCACCTTCCCTGCTCCCCACTCCTGTTCCAGGCTGTACCCATCCTACGTTCGGTAAATTAAGCCCTCTGGGGCAAGAGACTGTGCCCCTTTTGTGTCTCACACCGCACCTGGTGCTTTCTTCAGCACAAATCCTGGACGAGCTGCCACATCTGTCGTAAAGTTGGGCTTGAGAAGAAGCTGCCTCCCCAAACAGGCTATTCTGAACTGCCGCAGCTGCCCACATTCCAGGCTGCATCTGGCACAGCCAAAATGTCGCTCGCTTGAGCCGGCTTTTCCCCCAGGAGGTTCAGTTGTTTCGCTCCCTTTTGCATCCCACGAAGATGGGCGTCTGAACCATGTACCTCGTCTACTGTTGCAGGAGGAGCCTAAATAAAGGAAATGCCACTCTCCTCTCTCCAAAATAAGTGGGTCCCCAAAAGTTATCTGCTCCATCCCTGGGAAGTTGAAATAGGGGGCCCTTCGGATACTGTTGGAAGGGACTGTGAACAGAAATGAAACAGTTGGGACGCTAGATCAGGAAACCTGGTGCTGTTAGATGCTTTGGGGTTCAACTTTCTTCAGTCCCAACCAACGTGGCTGACGCAAGAGCGTGTGGGCGTTGTAGAAACGGAATCTGGAGGGCTCTGGGTTGCCTATCTGCATGTTAGACTATCTGATGGGAGCATAAGATTTGGAATGGCCCCAAATTTATTTTAAGGAGTGAGGGATGTCAGGTTTTGGTGATTATTCTGCACTAAATTAGGAACTGTGAACAAAGAGCCAATTTCATATGCATCCCATATGGTCTTAATTAAAGTGCAACTATTAAATATGCTGAGGCTAGTGAGGCCCATTTCATGAACTGTGGAGGGGTCAGAGGAGGATACTGTAAAGCCATCGTAGTTCTTGCATATTCGAAGATATTGTAGGAGAAGAGCCTACATGACACCGAGAGACATCCATGGTGTCAAAAAATCAGAAAGACTCTGGTAGCATCTTTTCGGGCTAACAGGCTTGATTAAAAGGCATAAACTGAAGGTGAATCTGATGAAGTGACCTGCAACTCACAAAAGCCTCTGCCTTTTAATCAAATGTGTTCGTCTGAAAAGGTGCCTTTAGATTCCTTTTGATTTGGGGATATTGAAATTTAAAAAAAGTCCCCTGGAGACGTTGAGGTCTACAGAAACAGCCCTTCCTGATTGAGATGGCAAAAATAAACTATTTCAAAGGGACGAGTCGAGAAGGGGTTTAGTTCAAGAGGGTGCAAGTTGTCCAAGAATCATGGATCCGTGTCCAGAATCACAAGGATGGGGATGATCATCCAGAGGTGAATGAGCAATGGATATGAGCAACTGAGATCTTTTCAGGTCTGCTCTCAAGACAGGGACATGAGAACAAAGCTTGCAAGCTTATAAAAGGCGTGCTCGCTTTTCTCTCTCTCTTCTGTAAAATAAGCCTGCCTTTTCTGTTCTGCTACCTGTAGCCACCCTCCTAGTATTTGTATGTTTGAGTGCACTCCCAACCCATTAATACGGTTAAATCAGTGTTGTCCAAACTTGGCCACTTTAAGATGAGTGGACCAACTCCCATGGCTGGCTGGGGAATTCTGGGAGTTGAAGTCCACTCATCTTAAAGTGGCCAAGTTTGGACAACACTGGGCTAAATAGAGATAGAGAAGGCAGCAAAGAAAATGTGAGGGCCCAGACATTGCTGGTTCCCTCTCTCAGCTCAGCAGACAGGAAAGG